CTCCTGATTCTCACTGTTTCTAGAAAAATATCCAAGAAGCCTCCATCCCGAATCTTTAAAAGCTGGCTCCATGGGAGAAGGCAGACTGAAGAGGGCGCCCTGTGCGGGTCCTGTGCCGCAGAAAAGACACCCAGTGTCACCCGGCTCAGAGCCAGGGTCACCAGGGGGGATGACGAAATGGGGTGGATTCAAGTCCCCGCCGTGCTCCGAGGGCACAGAAAAGGCCCCACGTGGTGCTCAGTGGAACAAGGGGCTGGGCCCAGGAAGAAGGGGGACTCGAATATAAAGAGGCGCGGGGGCTGGGGTGTCCGAGGTGTGGTGACCCTGGGGATGAGGGTCGGGGCTGCTGGGAACTCCAACCCCACCCGGACCATCTCGGATCAACGCGAGTCCTGAAGACGCTATTCTTAGATGGTGAGAACTTACCGCAAAGAGCACATCGATCTGAGCACCACGAAGATGGGCGACTGTATGGGTGCAGGGGCCCTCTCTTCATAGCTGCTGCAGAGGATCCTGGCTGCTGCTGGGCCCCACGCTGGGGTTGCCTCTGGCCATGGAGAAGAGATCTGGTCAAGTTCACGTGTGCTCCACCCCCCAAAAATAGATCTTGAAGTCCGAACCCCAGAAGCTCAGAATGGGACCTTCTTTGCAAAGGGTTTTTGCAGACGCAGGCAAGCTAAGACGAGGTGATGAGCATGGGTCCCAGTCCCGAAAGACGGGTGTCCTTGTGAAAACAGGGACCAGTTGGACACCGTACAGGTGTTCGCTGAAAGGAGGGGTGGGAATGACACCTCTGTCCGCCAGGGGACTCCGACCACAAAGCTCCAACAGCTGGAGGGAAGCGAGGACAGACCCTCCCCTCAGGCTTCCGAGGGCACAAGGCCCTGCCGGCACCTGGCGTGGGACTTCCAGTCTCTGGGACTGTGAGGGGACCCTTGGCTGCAGTCTACGCCAGGCATCTGCAGGACCTTGTCACGGTGGCCTAGCAAACCAGAGACAGAGCCCAGCCCCCCTTGCCTGACCGTGGATCGGTTCTGAAAGAGCCGGCCCTGCCGTCGAGCATCCTGCAGGGTGGGCGGGGCCTGCTGCAAACCCACAGCGGGTCAGCTTCTTCCTCGCCCGATGCGACGCCGTGTCCCTCACTGCCTGACAGGACACACACGACTCCCCGTCCCCATGCGAGACGATGTCAGACAGCAGGGGCCAGCAGAGCACCCCAGCCCGCTGCCCTGCCGTGACTGCTTGCGCACAGCGGATCTCCCGGTGCTTTGTGTGCCAGACGCACTTGCCAAACCCAGACAAGAGGAGAAGAGTGGACTTGAAATGTCTCGCTGTTGGGACAATGGGGAAGCGCTGCATTCACCGCGCAGTGACACTGTCTGCGCTCAGGGATCGCAGTACGGCCCTTCCACGTCACCGGGCTACACAGTCCACAGTGCCCCTGGCTCCCGGGAGAGCAATGAACGAGAAGTGTAGGAATTTGAACTTGGAATCTCATCGCAGCTGGTCTTCATGAAAATCAAAAGATGAGAATGAATCTGCCCGCTGATTCTGAGCTGCTCGTGTGCCAGCTGAGCAAGAAAGGATGTTTACTAGCAGTGAGTTAATTAAATCAAGTGTCATTGTAGCAGCTGAAAAAAAAATGTGTCTGGAGAAAACAAACGCTGTTAGCATTTCCTTGAGAAGAGCTGCGCCACGAGTTGGGGCCACTGGGAAGACGATCAGCAGTCAGTCAGCAACAGGCCCAATGATTCCGAGCGGTTCTCCCTGGCTCTCAATGAGCTGGCGGAGGTCGCTGGTGCAGGCCAGCGGTCCCACATCCAAGGGGTGGCCGCCAAGTCCGGCGTGGCTGCAGAATGCAGGCCCCGTGAACAATGTGTGTGAAACAGATGCAAGTATTTGAGGAAAGAGCTGGGAAAACGCTTGCTCGCGCACCCTGAGGGGCGGGGTCTGCTAAGCTGTGACAGAGCTGATGGCAGTGAAAATACGTTTGGAGAAAAAAAAAAAAGGCTTAGTTGGACAAGTTTACAAAGTTCATGGAAATAGAAAGTGCCGAAAGCTTGTGGGTGGGTGCTCATTGTACTACTCATCATTGTTTCTGGGAAGCAGACCAGTGAGTCCCTTGCCACCGCTGAGACATCAGGGTACCCCTACCCCAGGCCCTGGGAAACCCTGCCCAGGGAGGGCCCTGCCCCCACATTGCCGTCCACCGCCACCCTGCAGGGAGGCTACATGTAGTTCGGCTGCTGTCTGTTTTGGGGTGGCACACACATACTCAGCTTAACAACCCATAAAGCAGACTCAGACATTTTCCTCTATGTCTGCTGGCCCCAAGGGGTCCCCAGAAGCCCCCAGTTATGAGCCGAGAGGGGCTGGGGCCACGACAGTGGTGGGCTGCTTGGGAGTCTAGGTTCCCTGCCTTGGTGGCTTGCAAGCCACCTTGTCTTCGGATTCCCCTTGTCTGTTCCCACTGCTACCTGTGAGCTCAGGGAAGATGGTTGTGCTGCTTCAGACTCAAAGGGTTCAGGGGGGCCTGGGGGTACAAGTTTGGGGCGGGCCACCGACCCAAACAATCCCAACCCTTATTTGGGCAAAGCACCCTACCTTGGTGGAGAGTTACCCTTTTTTTAATAAGATGTTTTTATTTCTAGAGGGGTAGGGAAGGGAAGGAGAGAGGGGGAGAAACATCAATGTGCAGTTGCCTCTCACACACACCCTGCTGGGAACTGGCCCACAACCCAGGCATGTGCCCTGACTGGGAACCGAACCGTGTTTCTTTTGTTCGCAGGCCTGTGCTCAATCCACTGAGCCACACTAGCCAGGGAGAGTTACCCTTCCTAAGAGGCCCACCCCTCAGCCATTCAGGCCCCAGGCCTGCCCCCCGCTTGCCCTGCCCTTCCAGCCTTGATGAGAGCTCCTTCGCATGCTACGCTGACGTCCTCTGGCTTTCACATGGGGATCTTCACTGCCTATTACTTGCTCTAAGCCTTTCGTTACCTTGTCCTGGAGCTTCGATGGGGCCTAGAAATACCCATCCCATCCTTTGTGGTCAGTTCCCCCATCCCTTTAAACACCCGTCGTGGCACAGGAGCTGGTGCCTCCCTTCCCTGTGAAAGAGCCTCGGAACCGTCCCACACGCCCCCACGCGCCACTTCCCAGCAGGCAGATGGCGGTGAAGGGAATGATCCTGCCTCAAAGCCCCATCTCATCACCTGCCTCCTCAGACAACCTCCAGCCCCAGTCATTTCAGCTTGGGGTCTCCAGGGACAGGGACCCTGACTCGGAGTTGGGTGTCCAGGATGTTTTATTAGGGCATGTCCTTGGGAGGGAAGGGGAGGAGGCGGGGAAAGGGTGGAGGGAGACGGCCCTGCAACTCCACTGCAGCCTCCCCAGGCACCGCCGAGCGTTCTGATGTGCAAACGGCCCAGCACTGCCCCACGTTGGGCGCAAATACATCTTTGCACTGCTGTGAGCCCGTCGATGGCAGACCGCATACAGGCTGGGGGCTCCACGACATTACAATGTGTCCCAGCGCCACACACCCTCCATGCGTGCTGCTGCCGGTGCCAACAAGCCCACTGCGCTGCCGGCTGTGAGGAAGTATAGCACCTGCGACTGTGAACAGTGCCTGATACTTGATTCTGACAACAAATGACTGTCACTGGTTTATTGCCCACACTATGCTTTTTATCATTATTTTAGAGTGTACTCTTCCTACGCATAAAAAAGGTTGGCCATAAAACAGTCAGCCAGCAGCGGCCTCCTGCGTGTCCCGTCCCCTGCATCTGTTGACGGCGTTGTTTTTCTTGCGTCTGACTTCATCTCGAGTTGTTTTATGAACAGTGCCACCTGGGGGCACAGCGCCTGCAGTCCGCAGTGGCTCACAGCCTTTGGGCTCACTTGTGGTCACCCGCAGCAGCCTCCCGTCCCATGCACTGCCTGCATCGTGAGTGCCCTTGACAAGGGTATCACTTACCTTTTACACTGGATTTTGACTGTTTCACGCTTTCTGTATTTAGAGGCACAAGTGCTGACTGGTGTGCTACAGTTGCCTACGGTGCTCAGCACGGTAGCATGAGGTGCAGGCATGCACGGGTAGGGGCTACCGGGTGAGGAAGGACAGGTGTGGGGAGGGGAATGAGGGCTCTGTTCGCTGACTGCCTCCAGTTCTAGTTTCAGATGCTGACTTGGAGGCCACGTATGAGGCCACAGCACCTGCAGCAGGGCAGGAAGCTGCAGGAGGAGGGCATGGGGAGGATGGGACCTCCGCTTGACCTGTGAGCTAGGGTCCTTACCCCTCCCATCTGTAGAATGTAACCTGCCCCCTGCCCCCATTCCCACACTGAGAGTCATCTTCAAGGACTCAGCCTGGAGGTAGTGGTGTTGAGGCCATCCGGACGGTGCTCAGAACTGGACCTAGTTAAGGCCTCTCTATGAACTTCTTCCTGGTGGGCAGGTGTGGAGGTCCACTCGACCTGTGGCCCCAAACAAGCTTCATACGTAAGTTTCCTTGCTGATTAAATCTGCCACCCACAAGTCTGGAGTGGTCTGCCCCTCTCTCTGGTCTCTCCTTACGCTGTGTGTATGAACCAGCGGGAGCCAGGATCACAGAGCTGGGTGTGGGTGGGCTCCTGTCAATCACGGGGTGAGAGAACAAGCCCCGAACAACCAGACCCAGGGGGTGAATTCCTGGCAGATGTGCTGCCATGGCCATTACCAACCACCTCCCCTCAAGGCTGCTGTTATCCTTGGGGAGACACACCAGGAAGACTAGACGGGAATGACGTTCCCTGAGGAGGCCGGCCTGGCCGATCTGCACCCCCAACTCTCCTCCCTGTGCAGACGTTGCCAGTCAGTCCCAGTCTCCGCTCAGTCTGCACGAGGGCTCAGACAACCCTCGCCAACCCCTCGGAGCTGGCCTACGAGAGCTAATTGTCTGCTGTCGTCTGGCCCGACCTCCCGGAGCTTGTCCCACAGAGCGAGGCTGGGGAAAGACCACTTCACTGCTTTACTGGGAGGGGAATACACTCTGACACAAAGCAAGGCTCTGAGCCCAGCACGATCTCTAGCTCGAGATGCAGCTGGTTGGCCATGACTCTGTAGTGACCGTTAATGAAGCCCCGGGACGCGCAGGTGTGGCACCTCCAGTGGGCCTGGATGACGCGGGCCGCGTGCAGCAGGCGGCAGTAGCGCAGGCGGATGCGCCACATGCGGACCCAGGACTGCAGCCTGACCGCCGCCCTCTCCTTCTGGGCAAAGGTCTCCAGCGCCTTCTGCCGCCTCTGCTCCAGCCGCGTGGCCAGCTCCCGCCTCCACCAGTGCTGAATGACGGTCACGCTGACCGCCGCGTGCAGCAGCGTCCGGCGCACCAGGGTGCCCCGCCACCAGGCCTGGATCTTTACGGCTTCTGGATTATGAGGGGGGGACTCATTTTTGTGTTCTGGGCTCTTGCAAGAAAAAGAGAGGACGTTCAGAGCATGGTCCCCCACCCACTCAGACCCGGGGCTTGCAGGAAGGGACCCTGTCAACAGTCACTCTTTCTTCCAAACCTCAGGAGCCCTGGGCAGGGCACTGCCACCAGAAGCCCAAGTGGGTGTCCTGTCTCTGCCCCTCCCTGGCCCATGGCCAGGGACACACTGACCTGAGTCTGAGAGTCCCCATCTGTGTGATGGGATTGCATCTGCCCTGGCTGCCCAGTTTCGCGCAGATCCAGTTGGCCAGCCCAGGGCAGGGTCACCATGCTCACCTCACTAGGCTCCACGACCCTTGCTTTCAGACCCCACCCCCCCGATGGAGGAGGGGCCTTTTTGGCCAGCTCTGCCCTTTCCGTCTTTGACTCCAGCGCCCGTTCACAGCATGTTCTCTCACTCCGCCTGCCACTGTACTGAGTTTCCTCACCCCGAGGGTTCCGTCTCTCCCAACTCTTCCTCACCTTCCCTTCCCTTGACTTTCACACTTGAAATCTTTCCTAACAAGCAAATGTGTGTGCAAACGTGCATGCACAAGCTCACCAACACACACGCAGTCGACGCCGCCCAGCATCCCATCTCACAAACACAGCCCCCACATGCCGGCCCCAGCCCGGGGGTCTGGGTTGGGGTCATACTTCTCTGGGGCTCTCTTCAGCATCGTCCACTGTCGCCTCAGCATCATCCACTGTCGCCTCAGCATCGTCCACTGTCGCCTCAGCCTCATTCGACTTGTCAGCCTGAACAATAGATGGGGAAAGAGACAGACGAGAACGGGTTGATTCCTCTTCTTGGCTCCAGCCCAGACCAAAGACTAGCCTAGCCACAAGCACCGGGACACGAGGGCCGGACGAGCCCTTGTCCGGGCTCCTCCCACCTACCTCCACCTTGTCCTCTGAGGTCAGAGATGATGAGGATGATCCAGAGGACTCCCCCTCCTGCTGAGGCTCAGCTCCGGGGTGTTCAACATTTCCAGGCTGGTCCGCCTCCTGGGGTCGGCAAGTAGGGGAGAGGCAAGAAAGAGTGAGGGTCCTCTTCCCTGCTCTCCCTTCTATACCCTACACTCAGCCCGCTTCCAGGGCTTCCCAGAGGATTCAGACGCCGGGTGTCCCCTCATCCTGACAAATTTATGGGGACATCCCTGAAAAGCCTGGTGCCAGTCTCTCACCATTGGCCCCACAGGGATCGGAGGTAGATGGTTCAAACCCCCTCAGGTCTGTGTTTCTCTAGCCGCGGCCTGGGTAGGAGGAGTAGAGGGGGGAGACCTATGATGTCACAAGGGCAGCTATGACTCAGGAACCAGGATGGCTCCCAATATTTGAGCCCTCTCCGAGGAAAATACAAAAGTCTGTCCATCATTTTTGGCTGGAAATGGTGAAAGCCCTGACCGTAGAAGCGAGATATCAGAAATCCCAGCCCATGGATGTAAAGGTGCATAAAGATAATCAGTTAGTCCTGGCTGGTGTGGCTCAGTGCACTGAGTGACAGCCTGTGAACCAAAGGGTCACTGGTTCAATTCCCAGTCAGGGCACATGCATGGGTTTCGGGCCAGGTCCCTGGTAGGGGGGTATGCGAGAGGCAACCACACACTGATGTTCTCTCCCTCTCTTTCTCTCTCCCTTCCCCTCTCTTTATTTAAATATAAATAAAAACTTTTTAAAAATAATGAATTTGCTGTATATGTATTGATGAATAAATATATCCAAGATGCATTTATGGGTAAAAAAATTGACAATCACGACGACCCCATTTAAGTAAATAAAACCATCACAATACAAAATGCACTTACATGTTGTCAGTGTGTACAAAGGGGACCCTCTGTAGGTGCGCGCGTGGAACTGCCGCAGTGGTCACCACAGGAAAGGAGAAGGGCACTGCTCACCCACCCAGGCAATGCCCAGGGAACGCCACGAGGCCCCAGGGCCAGCCGGGGCCCTGTCCGGGTTCCAACAGGCTCAGGGCTCTCCCGTCTTCTTCTGCCCCTGAAGGACCCACGGCCACAGTCAGATATGTGAACGGCAACCAACTTCAGAAGTTGTTAGCTCTGTTATTAGCTCAGAAACATGGGAAGGACACGAGGCACAAGACCCTGGACCCCGGGTGGGGACCTCCCCACCTATGCCTACTCCTGTCCTCTGAAGACATTTGTAACCGAGGTAAAGTGGCTACTACGTCCCAACCCAACTGACCTAATTAACGAAAAATGACCTCCCTCAACCTCCACTGCTTTTATCCACAGCACTTGGCATAGAATTTTAAAAAGGAGAGACGTGAAGAAGTAGGAAAACGTGACCTGTAATCAAAAGAGAAAAATCAACAGAAGCAGATCATAGGTGACGCACATTGGAATATTAGCAGACAAGAACTTAAAAACAATTACTAGGACTTAAATCAGGATACAATGAACAAAGAATTTAGAGAAAAAGGCAGACAAATGAGTGGAAAGTGGAGGATTTCAGCAGACAAATGTTAACTAAAACAACAGGACAAACACTAAGTAGAAATTCTAACACTGAAAAATACAGTATCCAAGTAAATGGAAAGGGTGGGGAAAAAAGGGGGTTATTAAGCTCAAAGACAAGTCAAAAATTATGCAAACATGATAAATACCAGTAAGACCTCCGTTGAGGCATAACAGTGAAATTGTTATAAAAGATTTTTTTTTAGTTTTTAAAAACCAGATAAAAAGGTTGCATTACCTTTAGAGAAAGAAATATTAACACAACAGAAAACTTGTCATCAGAAACCAATGGAAGCCAGAAGAAAATGAAATAACAGCCTTGGCTGGTGTGGCTCAGTGAGCCACTGGCCTGCAAACAAAAGAGTCACCGGTTCAATTCCCAGTCAGGGCACATGCCTGGGTTGCGGTCCAGGTCCCCAGTGGGGGCCATGTAAGAGACAACCACACATTGATCTCTCCCTCTCTTTCTCCTTCCCTTCCCCTCTAAATATATATATATATATATATATATATATATATATATATATATATATATATATATTTTTATTTTTTTTTTTAAAGAAAATGGAATAACACTGTAAAGTACTAAAACATGGGAGGGTTGGGGAGAGGGGAGCCAACCTAGAATCCTACAAAGACAATAACATTGAAAAATAAAGATATGGACGTAAAACAGAAAGATTTGCTCTTACCACTGTTCAACAATGTACTGAAGGTCCTAACCAGTGCAACAAGGCAAGAAAATAAAATGCCTAAAATTTTTTAAATATATTTTATTGATTATGCCATTACAGTTGTCCCATTTCCACCCCTTATTCCCCTCCACCCTGCACACCCCTCCCACCCACATTCCCACCCTTTAGTTCATGTCCATGTGTCATAAGTTCTTTAGCTTTTACATTTCCCACACTACTCTTGCCCTCCCCCTATTTTCTCCCCACCATCTATGCTACTTATTCTCTGTACCTTCTCCCCTCTCTCCTCTTCCCACTCCCCTGTTGCTAACCCTCCATGTGATCTCCATTTCTGTGGCTCTGCTCCTTTTCTAGCTGTCCACTTAGTTTGCTTTTGTTTTAGGTGTGGTTGTTAATAACTGTGAGTTTGCTGTCCTTTCACTGTTCATCTTTTTTATTTTCTTTTTCTTAGATAAATCCCTTTAACATTTCATATAGTAAGGGCTTGAACTCCTTGAACTTGACCTTATCTGAGAAGCATTTTATCTGTCCTTCCATTCTAAATGAAAGCTTTGCTGAATAGAGCAATCTTGGATGTAGGTCCATGCCTTTCATGACTTGCAATACTTCTTTCCAGCCCCTTCTTGCCTGTAAGGTCTCTTGAGAAATCTGCTGACAGTCTGATGGGGACTCCTTTGTAGGTGACTGTCCCCTTAGCTCTTGCTGCTTCTAGGATTCTCTCCTTCATTTTAATTTTGGCTAATATAATTATGATGTGCCTTGGTATTTCCCTCCTTGGGTCCAACTTCTGTGGGACTCTCTGAGCTTCCTGGACTTCCTGAAAGTCTATTTCCTTTGCCAGACTGGGGGAGTTCTCCTTTATTATTTGTTCAAATAATGTTTCCACTTGTTGCTCTTCCTCTTCCCCTTCTGGTACCCCTATGATTCAGATGTTGGAATGTTTAAAGATGTCCTGGAGGTTCCTAAGCCTCTCCTCATTCAACAAGTATTCTTGTTTCTTCATTCTTTTCTGTTTGGTTGTTTCTTTCTTCCTTCTGGTCTACTCCATTGATTTGAGTCCCAGTTTTCTTTCCATCACTATTGGTTCCCTGTGCATTTTCCTTCATTTCACTTAGTGTAGCCTTCATTTCCTCATCTACTTTGTGAACAAAATCAACCAGTTCTGTGAGCATCCTGATCACCAGTGGTTTGAACTGTGCATCTGATAGTTAGCTATCTCTTGGTTGCTTAAAAGTATTGGCTCTGGGGCTTTGATCTGCTCTTCTGATTGAGCAATTTTTGGTCAGGTCATGCCTGTTAAGTATGAGGTGCGGAGCCTTAGGTGTTCACCAGGGTGGGGCCACCCAGTTGCTAGGTTGTGACACTGTATGTGGGAGCAGAGTCAGAGAGGGAGCAATGGCGTTTGTTCTGCTCTCTCTCAGATTTCAGTCCCCTCTGCCACTTCCCACAAGCAGGCACCTTTTCAATCAGTGCTTTTAGGCTTTATTTCCTGTCGCTGGAGCCCTGGGTTGCTGGGTCTGTCTCGCTGCCCATTTTTGCCTAGTTTATCTGTGCTCGAATGTGTGACCTCGATTAGCGCCCTGCTGCCCGAGCTCCTGGGTCTGGCTGCCACCGCCTTTTCCTACTGTGACCCCTCTCCACCAGCTGCCGATTCTGCCCCTCTCACCAGTCTGGTTGAATGGTTGTCGGACTTTTGTACAGTTTAATTTCTGTTTGTTCTGGTTGTGTTTTTGTTTCTAATTCTTTGTTGTCTTTAATTTTGGTTGTGCAAGGAGGCACAGGCACGGTGTTTCCACCTATGCCTCCATCTTGGCCGGAAGTCCCCTAAAAATTTTTAAAAAGTGATTCACATAAAAGCTTCCAAATATGTCTATCCTAAATACTAATAAGGGAATCTAGCAAGCATGCAAGGTACCCACAGTGTTGCCTGCACATGTCTGTGAATATACTAAACTCCGCTGAGTTGTACGCTTTAAATGGGTGAACTCCACAGCATGAATTATATTCCAAAAAAGCTGTTTCAAAATAAAAAGCACTCCCAAAATTGAAAGACACAATGGTACTATACATCAATAAATAGTTGGGAGATAGTTTTCTTTCATTTTTAAAGATTTTATTTATTTTTCAGAGAGAGGGGAGGGGAGGGAGAGAGGGAGAGAAACATCAATGTGTGGTTGCCTCTCACACACCCCCAACCAGGGACCTGGCCTGAAACCTAGACACATGCCCTGACCAGGAGTTGAACCAGAGACCTTTCAGATCACAGGTGGGCGCTCAATTCACTGAGCCACACCAGTCAGGGCAGCAGTTGGAAAATTCTTGATTAGAAGTACAAATTTGAAGGATTTACATCATCTGATTTCAAGACAATGGTTTACTGTCATGAAAAACTATAAAGTTACAGTAATCAAGACAACGCAGCTTTAGTGTAGGAAGAGACAGATCAATGAAACAGAACAGAGAAGCCAGAAATAGACTCACATGTACAAAGTCTATTGATTTTTTAATGTACCAAGAAAATTCAATGCAGAAAGAAAATGCATTTTTCAATGGAAAAGAAAATCTTAACCCTTATCTAACATCAAAGACAAAAAAAATTAACTCAAGATCTATCATAGGCCTAAACAAAAACTAAAGCTGAAACTATAAATCTTACAGGAGAAAACTCATGAGAATTACTTTGTGACCTTGGAGTTGACAAAGATTCCTTAGAACAGAGAAAGCACTCAGTGTGAAATATTGACAGACTGGACTTCACTCCAACTAAAACTGTCTGTTCATCAAAAGACAACAGCCCTGGCTGGTGTGGCTCCGTGAACTGAGTGCAAACTTAAAGGTCACTGGTTCGATTCCCAGTCAGGGCACATGCCTGGCTTACAGGCCAGGTCCCCAGCTTGGCGTGTGCAAGAGGCAACTAATGGACATATCTTTCGCACATTGATGTTTCTCTCCCTTTCTTTC